TTTTTTTTTTTTTTCATTTTATTCTTTCACAAGCAGGTGTAGCCAGTCACGTTTTGTTTTTATTGTTCTCGTTCTTGTTAATAATGTTGTTTTGAAGATTTTCGTTTCACCAAGAATGGAAAGAATGATTAAGTTTCATACTTTTTCCTTCGGGTTCGAGTTAAATTTATCAAGCTTCTTATTGTTAGAAGAATTTTAGAAATGGGATTTATGGGAAATTGAAACTAGTACCAAACAGTAGCCATTCATCAGTTTTGCAGATTTTCTCGATTGTGATTGGCTAAAAAAATTCTCAAATCCGCTGGACATACATGCAATGAAAAATGGAAAGATTTTGAAAAAAAACTCTCATTTAACTTTGGAAAAGTAAAAGCATTTGCAGTTCTGATGTAGCCTGCGTCACATACCACGTGACATTCAAACCAAACATAATCGTCAATGTTTGCTAATAGTCAGTACAATGAATGCTATGGCAACGAAACTTTGTACGATGGGTTGGACTTGTGTTGTCAATCATCTGACCGCGTGATACGGCGTGACGTCACATATCACGTGACTTACGAACCAGACATTATCGCCGAGTTTTGTGAACAAAGAAGAGTTGCATCTAATCATTTCACTCATCAAATAAATTAATGCTTATTACTTTAACGGAACTCGAATGCACATACCTCTAGTAAAATTATCTATCCTTTGCCTAATTAATTATTCTGATGATTTGTTTAGTATTTTCACTGACCTTCACTGAAAATATTCTTCAAATCATCGAGGGCTAGCTCGGAGGAGCATCAGAGAACTACAAACTAAAGCATTATTCAGTCCAAAAGTTTTAATACTATTTCTCATGGTTCTATAGGCTGATAATGATCTTGAGCCACTAAAAAATGATGCCCCGTGTGAGGATCGAACTCACGACCTTCAGATTATGAGACTAACGCGCTGCCTACTGCGCTAACGAGGCACTCCTTGTTTTTAAGTTGATATTTTTAGCGAAGCTTTTTTAGTAATAAAGTCTTTTGCCTTTGTCACCAAGAATGAAAAGAATTTGTTGTACATTTGTAATTTCAACTGACATAACTTCACTACGAAATATGAATATTCTTCGAAAATCGAGG